AGTGTACGCTTGTTCTTGACCTTCTCGGAAGAGAGCTTGCGGACAGTAGCGACGTAGTGTGCAGGCATCTTCTGACCACCAGTAGTGTCAACCCATCGCTTAGCCATGGCAGTGTGATCGCAAGGTTCCTGAGCCGGAGCCGCAACAGCGGTCGCCGCCAAGGAGGCGATAAGGATGGAGGAGTCGAACTTCATATTGGCGAATAGAAGAGATGTGGAGGAAAATTAAGATCAGCTGCCCGGCAGTGATGTAAGTAGAGAACGTGTATAGAAGATAAAAGCCGACTAGCAGCGATATATACAAGGAAGAATGATTGAATGGAAGTAGAGAAGAAGACTGAGTAAGCTGGATGAGTATCGAACTGATGAATAGTAATACTGCATGGAAATACCTTCGCTATATACCATGCCTCCATGGGGAAAGGCCCGATCGGGCGGAGCATGTCCTGTCTCAAACGGTGCATGCGTTCTAGCCTTTTGTTCGAACGTTTTGTCGATCGTCATGGTAGGTACGCTGTAGCATTGCGTGCACGAAAACGCACATGCCTTTAGGCTGTTGTGCTGTCGCGCGGGCATGTGTCGTTTGGTACTGCAACGGGCGGAGGCGAAACACTGGTCGTGTAGCTGGTTCCGCATACTATACGCAAAACATAATTGCTTGTTCGGCGGACGACTCGTAGCTTAAGCGCGAGATGTACCTTGGCGTCGCGTGGAATGGCTGGGGAAGCGCTTGACCTTGTAAATCCCTAATTCAAATCATATCGCGATGCCTTCCTCGCGCTGTCATTGAGCCGTGATAGACGTGACAGCATATGATATTTCGATTTCTGTTCTTTGTCAATCGTCGACGCGTCCTCCGAGTGATGGTGTCGCTGGTTCCGTCGCAGCACCCGTGAAACGACAGCTTGGCGCGTTAAGTGTCGGCTAAGTACGCGTGTTTTGGTTTCGAAACTAAGGCAGATCGTGAGAAGCCTTACGACTGGAACAGTGGATGTACGAGAGCGCCTTTGACAGGTTCCGGAGGTTTCGTGAGCGACTGGATTGAACGTGAGTGAATAAGCCGGGGGGCAATGGATGGCGGGTGGGGTCCAAAGAAGCTTAAAACCTTAGCGCGCCGCTAGTCTGGCTTCGAGAGACGGAAAGAGCCACGAGAGCGAACACTCAGAACAGGGTATCTTCATTCGGTGTTTGATGATATCCAATCGCATCTCTTCGCTGTGATACGCTGCTGACATGGTACCGTCGCTGTACATGCTCCAACCTCTGCTGCGCCATACATCCCTCATATACACGAAATCTTGTCTGAACATCGAATCTCACTATCTCCTCCTTGCCAGTCCTGTGACATACAGCTCTCCAGGCTCTGCTTCTACTTTCCACCCTTCGTTGACTAACGTCTTCAAGACAGCAGGTCCCAGCTTTCCCCTTCCGCCCTCGCTGTGTCGGCCCAAACCTGTGATGATCCTGTAGGCCTCGCCACCACCTCTGCGACCAGCACCACTCCACTCGGGTATTCTGCGCTCGCCCAGGCCATTCCACCAAGCTTGTGTTCGTTGTTTGGCGATTCTCGTTGCGTCGGCCACGGTAACGCCATGGAGATCGAGGTATGTTGGACCAGATTGTGTGGAAACGAATGCGTCGGCTTCGGCTGCGTTCATCGCTTTCAGATTGGCATTGAGGTCACGGCCTTCTTGTGCATAGTACGCGGCTGCTTGCCTCATGAGTGGCGTCGACTTGCCCTTGCGGTAGGCACCTGATGCTTTCCCGAATGCGTCGTTTCGTGCAGCAGCTGTGGACATCGCGTCGCGTGGGCGAACAGAAGGTGTCAAAGTAGGGAGTCTCGTGGCTTCGGGAGGGTCGGATAGATCGACAGGAGCATATCGTAAGTCGAGCTTGATACCGCCCTTTCCACCTGTCTCGCTAGCAGGTTGTTGGGTGAGGGATTTCGCTAACTCCTGGGCTTTTATCGTCGAAGGAGCAGTAAGCCGCACTATGGCAAGGGCGTGCTCTAGATCCATAGATGGGAAGCCCTCATTCAGTGTGATCGCATCCTGTACCAGTGCAGCATCTGGCTCGCCCTCTTTCTTGTGCGCTGCGATATCCTTCTTTACAATGGCTAGCACAGTCGCCGAAACAGACGTTCCGTTCGCGTGGTAAAGCGACGATACCGTCTTCGCTGGGAGGCCTGTTCGCGACGTTATGAAATCTACATCTCGACTCGTGTTTTGCCAGCGATTGGTTGGCGCATCCGATTCAACGAGGTAGCTAGTACCCGCCTCCAAGGAAAGTCTCTGCTTCTTCTTGCTTTTAGCTTTCTTGCCTTTTTGCGGTACGAGATGGTCCTCTGAGAATGCATCGATACCCTTCGCGACTGGACCTTCTTCAGTAGGGCTTTTCCTACTGTCATCGAAGAAGACTTGGTTCAATAGTTCATCCGTCGCTTTGTCATAATCGTATCCGCACTTCTTCAGCGTGTACGTGACCTGGGCGAGCCGCAGACCTGGAAAGGTTTCGGCAAGCAAAAGCTCTTTTGTGGAGACGTCCGACTGCTCAATATCCTTGTAATATCCATCCTCCAGGGACCCTTCTGAGCCACCCGACCGCCCGTTGACACTGAGTGTAGAGAATTCGTTCGATAGCGTCGAGTGGTCCGTTGCTACGGTCTGCGTCGTCCACGAGTCGGCGTTGGAGTCGACATCGGTGCTGTGTTTATCTGGGCTGCCTTGAACTGCGCCTCCGCTACTACCAGAAGGGTCGAAATCGAGGGCTTCGGCGTCGGCCGTCAACTTCAGGGGTTCGAGTAGTTGCCTAGTAAGATCGATCGCATTCGGCTCTCCTGCGAAATCCGAGTAAATCGTGTAAAGAAGAGTGGGGTCTATCGTGGGGCAGTATTCCTGCTGCAAGTCGCATTCCCGTTAGCGACGTCGCACCATTGTCTACTCTTGCGCCGTTGCATACCTCGAGAAGACGGAGGTCCTCATCCATTTTGATTCTTGTAGTATTGACGTCTTCGTATGTGTCTATGCGGCGAGTGCATACTCAGACTGTATGTTGAGACTGTTGTAGTGTGTCGCACGATTGTCTCCTCTTAGAGAAGTGCGCGTTTGAGATGACACGGCGTGGTGTGGTAGGTTGATTGTACGATAGGCGGGCGCACAGGCAGAAGTGCGTGGGGTGTTGTGGCAGAGTCGGCGCGTAGTCGCGAAAACCATGGGTCGAGGGGAGACACAGCCGAGCTTGGCGATCAGAGTACACCTCACCGTTGCTGTAGCATAGCGAATCTCGTTCGACAGGAGAGATTCGGAGTTTGCGACGTTCGATTCCCAAGCTCACTGAATTCTTCGCGCTGGTCAGATGTCACACGTCATCTCGTCTTGGATCCAACTGCGCGTCATCTACCGACTGAATCGACGCTAATGCAAGCGCCGCGAAGCGCGGGAGCCCTACTAAGCTCTCGACAACCTCACGATCCGATAGATAAGCATCGAGCTGGACAACTTTTCGTCCTCTCTGAGGGTATCCGGAGAGTGCTTCAGAGTGCCATCAGAAGGAGGCGGTTTTCGACCTGAACAACGTGATACATGCTACACAAGAACCAGGTCTGGCTCTACAGCAGGACACCTCTCAGGCCTATCGCCATATGTAAGACCTCATTTGATCGATTTCCTTCTCGTATCTCCTCAACGTCAAGTCCCATCCTTCTCGATAGAGACATGCCGTACCTGCCGGTCTCGGAGAATCCAGCCTTGGCAGCACCGAGAGGTCAGCCTTGCGTACCCGTTTTGGCCCCCAACAGCGCTGCGCCGCTATCACGTCCATGGCGGTGCACCAAATTTGTGCCCAGGCGCGCATGAGTTTCAGGCAGCCTATCGCATCCATGCTATGAGGTTAAGTACACCTCAGGCCTCCCAGACGCCATGACATATTCTCGAGTTTGATCCCCTCGCGTCCCTCATACTCGACAATCGCATCTTCAATCCCGACTAACAGTCAGACGACATGGCGCCCATGCAACGTCGCAACACCAATCTTTCGCTGCAAGGCACTGTAGCGGTCATAATTCTTGTCATCATGTTCGTCTCAGGCATCTTCTGCACAGTCGTTTTTGTGAAGATTTGTAGTAAACAGCGGAGGCGCGAAAGGGCTATGCGCAGGATGCAGGAACAAAACGCGCCGTACGTCGGGGTTCAGTATACTGCACCACCAGGCGCCCCAAGCAACGGAATCATACCACCACCGTATGCAGGACAAGGGCATGTACCGACGGAGCTGCATGGAGACCAATATAAATACAATGGACCGCTGGAGTTGCAAGGAGAAGGGAGACCTGAATTTGCTCAACCACAACAGATTGATGGGTATATGGCAGCAGTAAGTGTTATTGTTGAAGAGAAACATCGCGTTGGGAATGAGAAGCTGATTTGTTATAGCCACCGGTCGACAATAGCGATCCTATCGAACTCCCCGCGAACGCCATGGTGAATGATCACGGAAACAACGGAGCTGGAGGTTTCACGATGGAACAACCGCAACAACAAAAAAAGACGGCATTTGCGCGCGTGCAAGCCATGTTCAAATGAAGACATCAGGAGACTCACCAACGTAATAAGGAACACGGGAATGAGATACGAGCAAACGACGAATTCTAGGCAACTATAATAGCAGAGCTACCCACATGAGCTTCGTGAGCGAATTTCGTCCACGGAATAGGAGTAACAATGGGGGAACTACGACATTGTCTCGCTTTCGCAGTAAGGGAGCCCGTCACCGCGACTTTACGATCAGCGCATCGCTAGCCTATACACACCATCAAGGCTCCTTCACTGCGACTTCTTGACTAGCGCCTTGTCAGTCTATATACATATACGGTCCACGACTACTATACCTCGATCAATCCTACACCCCTGCTTGACAATCGATACAAGCTATCTTGATAACAATCAAGTTCGTATCAATCAATTGTACAGCCCACGACACATCAACACCTTAACAACCGTCACTATGGACCTCATCGACGCCAGCAACGCCCCTGTACCCATCACCGTGGACCCCATCACTGGCAACACCATATCCGCCAACGGAGCCGAAAACACGATGGAGGACACTCAGATGGCCGACCCCGAAGACCACACCAACGCAGCGGACGATGAAGCCGAGGACTACGACATCGACAACAGCCCCACATTCATCGACTTCACCACCCTCCCCGCAGATACCAAGGCCACAATCACTCGTCTTTTGGCGTCCGCAGGTGCCAATTGGCTAGTCAGGTCCATGGCCACCCCCTTCCCACTTCAGTACCTGCCGGACCCAGACTGCCACAACTGGGGTCTAGCACTCATCTCCGCGCTCAATCGTCTTGCGGATATGACACGTTCCGGTCATAGGGACGAGGCGATCGCGTTCATCATCAAGCACATGAAAGAGCGGAATGAGGTTCCTGGTAACACTGAGGATGAGAGTAAGATGTCTTCGAACTTCGAAGGGAACTGGTGCTAATGATGTGCTTGAAGATATTTCTGCTTCGGTGGTCATGGCTGGCGATTTTGTGATTCGGCTTGAGGATGTCAATTACAGCATTTGCAAGATGCGGAACAGGGTCAATAGCTACCGCCCTGCTCCACAAGGTCAAGGCCGAGGTCATGGACGTGGGGGCTACCGAGGCCATCGAGGTCGTGGTCGAGGACGTGGTGGTGGAGCGCGGGGACGAGGAGGTATGATGGGCTTCCACGGTTGACGTGTTGTTGAGTGAACGACATCACCTGGCTGGTATCATGAGGTATGGAGGAATATGACATGAATAGTCCTAGTGTACTTCACTGCCTCGCTGGATGTACGTGGATGCTTGGAAATACATTGAACACCTCCACGCCTTGCCATGATACAGACCCCCGTGAATTCTGGATACGTGTTGACGCATACATGTATACTACGCCATATCCAAACTTCTCCCCGCTAAATCCACCGTATGCGAAAAACCGCAAACCCCTCACAATGATGAACAGCACCACTACCGCGCTCGCTCGCATAGCATCTCTACCAGTAACCCTGCTCGGGTCTATCCCTAGGCCAAACATCTCCTACATCCCCGCCGCACACGTAAAGCTCAAAGCAGAGCACATCGTTATGGTGTTCATCTGTGTATTGCGACAGATTTGGCTGTACGTAGAGGGCTGGAGAGATAGCAGGAGACGAAGGAACCAGGACGATGAAGATAACGCGGAAGATAAAAGGCAGGCGAAGAGACGTTCGAAGAAGAAGAGAGCGGTTGCAAGTACGACGGGAAAAGTGAATAAGAGAAGGAGCGGAAGAATTGTTGTGAAAGGGAGGTACACGCTGGTATTGCAGTAATGAGCTAGTATAATATGGCGTATGAATCCCAGTCTATATGCATTTCCAGGCTCTAAGACGTCGTTGATCTAGTCTAAACATGTTCGTAACACAGTCATATAAACCCAGTCGATGGGCAAATAATGCTCATCGCATGAAACGGCGAGCACCCGAAATATTCTCATCGCTGTCAGACTCAATCTCTCTGTAAATCCTATAGCCTGCCTCGTCTTCCGATTCGCTCTCCGATTTACTTTCCGATATCTGAGTCCTGGCATCCGGTTTTGCCCAGAACTTGCCTTGCGATCCGCTGTCCGATTCATTTTCTGATTCGTTTTCTGACTCGTTTTCCGGTTCTGTATCCTCATCCATGGCCCCGATGACATCCAACTGTAGCCCCGCCTTCTTGCACGCATCTTTAATCTCTCTCGATACTCCGTCTTCGCCTTCAACCACAACAAAAGTTTTCCAATTCCTTGCAACGATATCCTTTTGCTCGATAGTAGCCAGTAGAAGGTCCGTGACTTCAGTGTCGCTTCCTAGTTCGTTGAAGAACTCAAGCGTATCCATAACCGGCGGGAGACCAACGGAATGAAGACGCGGTTTCTTAGATGACTTTCCAAACAGCTGGTAATCCCAGTTCAGGCGCAATGTCTTGAGCGCTACAAACTCGCGCATACGTAGCACCTTACGCCCGGTAAGCGTTGGGTGATCGATTGTTATGCTCTTCAAAAACTCGGCCTGTGACTGAGCAGCCAGGATGTAGTCCCCAACGTTATCAGAGCTTTCTTCCAGTTCTGGCTCCGGCTCTTCTGTTTGCGTCATCACGAATTCCTCCAGCGCCTCGGGCAGTTCGAGGAGATCTCCAAGTGAGTCGTCGTTAATATCGCATTCGATCAGGTGAAGCTGTTTTAGCGCTGTCATGTGTGGCCGCTCGATATGATCGAAGCCCTTCTCGTCTAGCTTAGCTCTGCGGATCGTCAACGTTTCCAGCGTAGGATGGGCGAAGATATGTATGTTCTCGCGGAGGTCCCAGTAAGCATCATTGGCGCATTGGTAGAATAGTGAGCAGGACTTCAAGCAGGCAAGATCGAAGGGTCCGTTGAACAAGGTACCAATGCCGTGTAGGAGCACGTCGGGAACGGAAATGTCGAGCTTCTCCAGATTTGACATGATTGATAGCGTGCGTGAGAGGCTATCTGAGCGCTTGGGGTCCAGGTATGAGCCGGCGACAGGTGCATCCAGCGCCAGTTGCGACAGCTCCGAAGATGGATAGGCCAGCTTGATTTCATGGATGGCCGAGCCACGGCGCGGGCGACGACTCAATGACTCGCTGAATGTGAGGTGTAGCTCTGGAGTTTCGAACAGAATGCTCTTATATAAGACGGCGTCACTGAGGCGGTGACATCGTTTGTTGACCCGCGATACGTTGCAGAGGTCGCGTCTGGAAAGGCAACCGACCGCCTCAAAGATGTGGAGCAGCAGCTCATCTGGCAGCGCACTCAGTCTGTCGCGTAGAACGACGTCGGTGTTACTGTTTTTCTCCAACGGCATATCTGATACTAGTGTATCTATGCGAGAGAGAGGAGACGAGGTATCCATGCGCGAGGTACTTCGCAACCTTCGCTGCGAACACGTGGAGTTGGCCTGACTCGCTGCAGGTGGAATGCGGGGAAGCTTGTGGAGAGCCGCCGATCTTCAATCAAGGTACAATAGAACGATATGGAGGAAATGCTGCATAAGAGTAAAGTGTCAAAGTCGTTGTCGTAGACATTAGAAGACAATGTTGGAACATGCAAGAGTCTAGGAATAAAGGTACAGTGGTGATGCGTCCAGTGACGGGCAGGAACAGCGATGCGCGCACGGCCCGCCACGTGCGGCTGGTCCCATGACATCACCCAAAAAAACCTCATTCCTCATCTGACGCTTGCATTCCCACAAATGACATCTCCATACCGTTTGTAGCGGCTCTCAGTTCTACGCTCACACCCATCTACCGATAGGACATATGCTTTGAGATCACGCTGCCCAAGTACATATCAAACTAGTAATAGCAATTTTAGGCCGGGGATGGACAGCCGCCGGCAGGTGGCGCACGACTGTATCGTGAACCTAGACTCACAAGCAAACTTCGCGACTGATGCTACGCTCTTAATTGCCCCGGGCGAAAACCACGCGAGATCTTTAGCATGATTACAGGCTATGACAACGAACTCAGTCGTTTCAATTCCGGCTGTGTTGCTCATCATGCTGCGTGTCGTTCGACTGCGCCGCTCAGTTGATTATAATTGAGATTTTCATCGATGAGCTGTATGAACAAACGCCCATACTTCGACGAAGACTCGTCTGTGCTAACAAATATGTGTTTCTCACTATAAAGAGCTTGCGTTAGCACTGTCGAACAGAAAGCACGCTGAGCAAGCAAGCACTAGTGTATCCGGTTCAGTTCCTTGGCCACAGGTACGGAAACATCACAAGAAAACTCAAGGACTTGAAAATTGTCGACTGTTGCCACTGCTTTGCTTTCCGATGCTATATATCTCTTCTCAAGATGGTAATTTGGATTGCTGAAGTCTTGAACGGCTGGCCTCTCGCCATGTAGAATGGTAGTACCGGCGAATGCCGACCATAGGATGACATATCAGGGCTACGTTTGTAGTAGACCATTCTCAGGCATCTGGTTGGTCTCTTATTCGTACTCTAGTTATACATTTGCACAACCAAAGTTGAAAATTCTCGCTACCACCATCTTATCAGATTCTTAGAAGTTGGATTTTAGACGCAGTTAAGCGACACTTCGACACAATACACCTACCAACTCCCTTTTCGTGCCAACATCTAGACAGACGTTTCAACTTACTCAGCACGCTGTAGTCCGTTCTTCACTCTTGCGGTCAAAACCACGGCCCTCCTTTTACGTCACAGTACCCAGGCAGCCCCCCTGCATCACGTACATTCACCCTTGGCATCGTGCTAGACCATCGTGATACAGCACGAGCCTACTCCCATCACTAAGCCTGTATAAATACGTGGGGAATCTGCCGAAGGAAACGAACTACCGTTGAGAAAAAGTCTCAACTCTCAGAGAAGTTGATCAACGAGACTGAGCGGTCGACCACCCCTTTTTCCTACCAGATCATACCTGTAAGTCTTTGAAGCCTGGTTTGATAAACAAGACTGACTGACATTACTAGCTCTTGAGATCGACAAAGATGTCCGACTCAAGCTATTCCCGCTCCCCTAGCCGCGACTCCAACGACTCCTCCTCCCCTCCTCCTCTCTCCACAAACGCGCAGCTCGAGCTTGCCCTCGCAACCAAGTCCAGCCGCGCAGTCCTCGCGCACTGTCTCGGTCTCTCAAGCCTCGATGGTGTGCCACCCTCCGCCAAGAACATGATCGTTGTCAACTTCGACACCGAGAACTGGGAGTGCAAGCAGAGCGCCCTGACCGAGATCGGCGCGTCCACGTTTGACTCTCGCGATATGCGCGCGCTGGGAGGTCCGGGTATGCATGGAGAAGAGCTGCTGAAGCAGGTCTACTTCTATCATGCACGCATTCTTGAGAACGCCCATCTGTTGAACTTGAAGTGGTGTCCTGGAGATCCTGAAGCGTAAGTACCATCTCTTTCTCCCTATTGCAAAGGACGTCGGCTAACTGTAACACAGCAACCGCTTCGGCAACACACGTTTCTTGACCAAGTCCGAGGCCAAGGAAATGCTTACCGCCATGTTCCAGTGGCCCGTCGACCATACAGATGCTTCGAAGGGCTTCTGTCCCGTTGTCGTCATGGGCCATGCTCTATCTGGCGACATGTCTATGTTGAACAATACTTTAGGCTTCAACGCCATGGCTCTCGGTACGGTAGTCAAGATCATCGACACCCAATATCTGGCTAAGGAGTGCGGCTACGATTCATGGGGCGGCAACAAGCTTGGTCTTAGCACCCTCGTCGGCATGTGTGGCTTCTCGTATCGAGATGCTCACACCGCTGGCAACGACGCGGCTATGACGCTCATTGCTGCTGTCCAGATGGTGCTCCCTACTGACTTCAAGCCCGAGGACGGCCGTACACTGCAGGAGGTTGTTGATACCATCGAGTTGCTTAGTCAACAGCAAGAGTGGGGCTGGGGTAGCAACCTCTTTTGTCTTCGCTGCGGCAAATATGGTCATCTCAAGGACAACTACCAAGGCAAGCGCTGCTATGCCAAAGTCAAGTGCGACCATTGCGCTTCTTCCCAGTCGGACAAGCGAAAGCAGGCCAAAGGTACTCATATGACTGAGCGCTGCATCTCGTATGCGATGAAAGGTCCAGAGGTCGTTCTCTCGATTGAGAAAGTCGCCAATTCGGTGGCTGCTCTTGACCTTGCAGATTTCTAGAGTTCACAGTAGTGTGTCAGACTGAGAAGGTAGGACACCCTGTAAGGACCGCATTTCTTGGCATATCTCCACACTGTCAGTAGGACATCTCGTACTTCGACCTTGTAAATTTTGCCTGGGCGTTTTTGAGAATGGCCGAAGTTGTTCAAGCTAGAAGTGGAATCCACTATAAGTAGTTCAAGAATGCAAAGTTTATACAAGAATTCGTGTAGGTGACTATGTGATGACCCATCGCAGCGAGCGACTCACAACGTCTGAAATCCATATGTACCCATACAACCAGGTCCTCTCGAAAAAAGAGAAGTATCGTCAACACAAGAGCGTGTAGGTGACTGTATTTTTCAACATTGCGACACGACGCTGTCATGTGCGATTGGCGCAGGATATCGAAGCGGTGCAATGTCGCATATCTTAGCTGGAAGAGAACACATATCGGTGTATATGCGTAGCTCTGGGAAGCACGAGATTGGCTGATTTAGCAATTACATGGGTCGTACCTTGGATATTGTTTGTTAGACTAAGTCCCTTAATCCGCTCCAGTGGACATAGCCATGGGAGACTGACATCAAACCCATGATCCGCTGCTTCATGTGAACTCAGTCCCCACTGTATAAATACGCAGCCATTGCCGACAGTATTGCCATCTGCAGATTGCGAGTATATACTCAACAACTTTTCTCCAAGATTTCACTCCTCCTCCTTCACTTTCACCACCGCCCCTCCACGACCCTGTTTGCGCGGCGGGGGCGGGTCAAAGCACAAGATCGCTCACGCTCACTGATCAGCTCAATGAAATACGTGCTCACCTTGGGCTAGTCACCGTTTACACCTATACATTTGGCGTTTCTCGCACCTACCCCTCTGGTCTCCGCCGCACTCTCAACTTGTCTTTTCGCAACCAGAACCCGCGACTACATTCAACCCGAACGAAATCGTCGACTTCAAATTGCCCACGCGCACGACATACTACGTAAGGTAAGTTATGACTATACGAAGTGCATGTGAGCCATAGACTGACTTCGTACCTCTATCTCTGCAGACAGCGGACTCGTCCACCGCCATGGGGTACTCACCGCATCCCAGTACTCTACCTCTCTTAAGCGACACCGCTATGTCCCAGAACTCCCAAGGTGGACCGGTCCCCGTCACCGCTGCCCCAACCACAAGTACTCAACCTGATGCTCAAGATCCCGCGGTTGCCGCGCTCGCAGCCAGCTTCAACGCAGTCAGTATAAGTGCTACACCTGATGCTCGAGACCCCAGGATCATCGCGCTCGAGGCCCGCTTCAAAGAAGCCAGCGATCTTGAAGTGTGGGAGCACTGCGTCGGCGGCAGGCGCGTCAAGAACATCCCCGACGAGGCCGACGACCTCGCCAACCATGTCATCGTCATTTGTATTGACTGTGAGCACTGGTCGAACAATACCGACGAGACCACCGAGGTCGGCATCGCTACCTTCGGTCGTCAAGATGTATTGCCCATCGTGGCCACTGGAGACTTCGGCGATCATGGGGAGAACCTGATGAAGAAAGTCCGCTTCTACCTCCTACGCACCATCGAGACGTCCCATCTCCCGAATCAGAATCCAGCATCGCGGGGAGTCGAAGGCAACCGCTTCGGTCAAGGCCGGTTCGTCACCTTCGCCGAGGCGCGTCAGATCCTGACCGACCTGTTTGTACAACCCATCAGTGACGTCCCCCGCCTCAAGGGTTACTTCCCCGATCTCAAGGGTAACTTCCCCATCGTCGTTCTCGGCCACGACGTCGGACACGATCTGAACAACCTCAAGTCCAAGGCTATTGCCTTCGATATGGAGCCAATCGGTACCGTGGTCCGCTACATCGACACCCAGCTGCTGGTTCGTGACAAGGGTTACTGGATGATGCCGAGGAACGAGCAGGTTGGCCTCAGGCGTATGGTCGAATTGTTCTCCTTCGAGCATAGTGATTCCCACACGGCGGCAAACGACGCCGCTCGCACGTTGATCTCCGCATTCCAGATCGTTTTGGGCGGACATAAGTGCAAGAAGTTCGCAAACAAGAGTATGAACCAAGTGGCCGAAGATCTGGAGCGCCATAGTGTGGCGAACTTCGATGACAGCCTTGGTGGCGTTGAGAAGTACTGCTTCAAGTGCGGCACTGTCGGCCACATGAAGCCAGATTGCCAAGCCACGGACCTTCATTGTGACGAGTGCGAAGAGAACAAGTGCAATATCGAGCCAGGCGAGGAACACGTCACCGAGCACTGCATCTGTGTAGCCAACAAGAAAGCGCTCATTCGACGCGAGAAGGACGCTATCGCCCGGGCCCTCAAGAAACCAAAGCCCAGGGGCCCGTCTCGTGGCTACTCCAACTGGGGTCGTCCGATGTCACGTCCTGGCACCACTCGTCCGTCTGGTCCTACCATGAGCTATGACGGTCTCCGACAGTACTTCGACTCCGCTGGTGGACATGGCTCCGCCCCGCCAGGCCCTGGAGGACACCCTTCTGTCAGGGGGTTTGGCGGACATCTCGGCCAAGGCGGCTATGGCAACGCTTCGTTCGGTCGCGGTCGTGGTGGATGCCCTCCACGTGGAGGACACCCTTCTGTCAGGGGGTTTGGCGGACATCTCGGCCAAGGCGGCTATGGCAACGCTTCGTTCGGTCGCGGTCGTGGTGGATGCCCTCCACGTGGAGGACACGGACGACACAACCAGGATTGAGATAGCGATGAGGACCGCACAGGAGTTTCGGCGCTGGATTGGCGGCGCTTTGAACAGGCCGGGAGGATGTTAGTTGCTTTTGGAAGTTCAGTTGACCGTTGAGAACGCCTTAAAGATACCCTGGGTCTAGCATAGATGCGAGCGATATAGGATGAATGTACACTCTTCCGGATACGGTGCTGGTTGCGAGAGATGTGATGCACTGCTGACTAAGACAAAGCAGCAGGCAGCTGCGTCATCGGCGGGCTGTAAGCAGCAACCCTGCCGTGTAGCCGTCAACAACTTTCCACCATGATAACGATAATAGCCCCGCAATGCCTTTCGATGGAGTGCGGTTGACTTTCTAATCCCTAATACTCTGTCGCACAATCGCCATGATCGAAAACACGGTCCCCAAGTACCTGCTCATCAGGTCGTGCATCCTCGGATTCCGCGCCATCACGCCCTTCAGCATCTTTTGGGTCTCTTTCAGCATCGCAGAGCCCCCACATACCGCCTTCCGTCGCTTCCTCCTCACGTGGAGTATCATAGAGACTGCCTTCTGGCTGCTCGTCTACCTGCCCCGCAAGCGCGCGCTTCAAGCCTCTGCGCAACACCCGCCGCCCCTCGAGAAGGAAGAGAGGAAGGAGCTCTTCTGGCGGTGCTGGGATAAGATCCCTCACCCGGAGTACTACGTCAGCCGGTGGTTTCTAGGCGCGAGACCGGGCGAAATACGACGCGAGAATGTGCGCGAGTTCTTCGCGTGGGCGCTGCTAAACCGCGGCACCGAGAGCGATGAGGAGCGGAGGAAGAGGCGGCAGGCGCACCCGGAAGAGACCAATGATGAGGACGACGAGCTGAATGAGTATGCGGATGGCATAGAGACGATGCTTGTGAGGAAGCTGGCGCCTGGCATGGGCAGCGCAAAGAGCTTGCGCCTGACTATCGACCAAGTCAACATGGCGCATCGGCCGTTTCTGTGGTATATGGTATGTCTGCTGTTCTTGAGGATACACATGATACTGACAGCGACAGATTGTAATGCTAGTCGATACCCTTACCGCCGCTCGTCTGCGCTACTACGGCTTCATGCTCTTCCGCACCCACCTTCGCTCCTCGCTGGCCATCTTCCCACCGCGACTCGCCAATTTCACCACGCGCAACATCTCATCCGCGCCTGACCTGAGTTACTGGTACCGACCACATACGTCGAAGACGCGATTACCCATTCTCTTCGTACACGGCATCGGCATTGGCCTGCACCCATACGTCGAGTTCTTGAACGAGATAAACAAGCACGATCCGCTTGCGGCACAAGATGGTCAGGTCGGCATCATTGCTGTGGAGATTATGCCTGTCAGCTTCCGTATCACTGGGGCGATTCCAGACAGAGATGACATTTGTCGCCAGATCAACATGATCTTGGAACGCCATGCTTTTGACAAAGTCGTACTCGCAAGCCACTCTTACGGCTCAGTCATCTCTACCCACCTTCTTCGGGACCCCATCACCGCTGCCAAAATCGGCCCGATGCTCTTCGTTGACCCTGTTACATTCCTGTTACATCTTCCCGATGTGGCGTACAACTTTACCGCGCGTCGACCGAGAGGCGCGAACGAGCATCAACTCTATTACTTCGCTTCGACCGACATGATGGTTGCGCAAACCCTGGCGCGCCAGTTCTTCTGGGCACAAAACATACTGTGGAAGGAGGACCTCAAAGACCGGGACGTAACTGTCAGCCTCGGAGGCAGGGATCTGATAGTTGACACCGAGACCATCGGGAAGTACCTTAATGGTGCTGACCTCAAGGGCGAAGACAGAACCTGGAAGGACTCCGAGTGGAGAGGCCACGGCACAGAGACGATCTGGTGGCCCACTGTAGACCACGCGCAGGTGTTTGAGAGGCAAGACGGTAGGATGAGACTGGTGCACGTTCTCAGAGAGTACGTGAAGCGAAAAGCGGAGGAGGAAGAGGTAGAAGAGTTTCCCGGGCAATAATGCATATCCTTGTACCTGCATTCAGGGTCTTGCCACTTTGTCGCACCATCCCAGTAGATCAACGTCAGCTCCATCGGAAGTTTTAATTTACGTTTGGTTGATGGATACTACGGGAAGCCGTAGTTCATTTTGCGGGGGTCCGTCCGGACGGGCCTGAAGCAACTGGCGAGCCGGCCCCGCCGATCCCGAAACGGCTGTATATACAACGCTTGTATGCGCGACGAGGACATACAAACAAACGGCAACCTGCCGCGGAGATACACTTGCATACTCCTTCGATCAAAATCTCTGCATCATGCCCAACGGAAACTGGATCCTCGGCGACCTCTTCACCAAGGAATACGGACATCGCGGCAGTATTCAGAAACTTTGGGAACAACGTTGGAAGTTCCCCTGTACCAAAGGCGTTTACCCTTTCCACGATGGCAAGTTCGAAGACTTCGAGCCTATCTTCAAGCATCTCATCGACAACAACATTAACGACCCTTACGAGGATGCGTACACCAACGCTTTCTTGCCAACAGCGCAACGCCTAGCGAAGGAAGCTAAGGAGATGGAAAGCAAGGACAAAGAGGCAGCAAAGAAGCTATATCTAAACGCAAACGCTGTATACAGATTAGCCCGATTCCCCTACATCGGCACGGAGCTCAAGAAGAAGGTCTTCGAAGAGCAGAAAGAAGTCTACTTCCGCGGTGCTCAACTATGGGACATCCCCCTCGAAGAAGTCGTAATACCCCACAAACAAGCCTCCAACGGTGACGGCACCTCAATCCCCCTCTACATCCGCAAACCCACCGGCTCCGGTCCCTTCCCCACCGTCCTCCTCATCACGGGTCTAGACGGCCACCGCCCGGACAACACAGAACGCACCCAAGAGCACCTAAACCGCGGCTGGGCAACCGTAATCTGCGACATACCCGGCACAACCGTCGACTGCCCCGCCAACAAGCGCGACCCGCTCTCCCCAGACCGGCTCTTCACCAGCATCCTAGACTGGATCCGCGAAACGCCTTATCTGAACGAGAAGAAGGTCATCGCATGGGGTCTCTCAGCCGGCGGCTACTACGCCATCCGCCTCGCGCACACACACCGCACCCAACTCCTCGGCAGCGTCGGCCACGGCGCCGGAACACACCACTACATCGGCTCGGAATGGCTCTCGCAGATCTCCAAACACGAATACCCGTTCGGTCTCGAGGAAGCGTATATCCAGAAATACGGCTATTCGTCCTTTGACGAGATGAAAGAGAAATGCCAAGACGAATTTTCGCTCGTGAGTGGGAAGGGCGATGGCGTGGCTGTTGTAGGGCAAGGGATGAGCAGCTGTAGGTTGTTGCTTGTGAATGGTATGTTGGATGGGTGTATGCCGGTGGAGGATAGTATGTTGCTGGCGGAGTATGGGAGTCCAAAGGAGATGCGGTTTATGCAGGGGAGGTTGCATATGGGGTATCCGGAGGCGAATGAGACTGTTTATCCGTGGATGGAGGGGGTCATGGGGGCTGTTTAGAGGAGGTAGTTACTTCGAAGGTGATATTCCCCCTGCTATAGTACTAGTCGGCCTTGAAATGAACCTAGATACATTTCAGGGATATATGCTGTCCATGGTCTCCATGGACGCCGATGCAATGCCTTTGAAGAGACTCCCAATATCGTCCGAGTGTTTCAAGCGCACGGTCTTGAGCTTCATGAGAGGCGTTGGTTGGTGGAACAGATTGGCGAGCAGGGCGTCTGCCCGCCCCCAGAGCTCCAACTGGAGACCTTCCAACGCTGGCGCGATGTGGAAGGCTTGTTTACAGCGGGAATTTGATGAAGGGCCACCGCCTGAACTATGAACCTCTGCTTTTCGAAGCAAGCTGAGACCCACATTGTCTCCTTGTCTTGTTCGGTCGAGATTGTAGGTCACCAGGGTCCTGTATTGAGATAGAACTCCAGTAATGGAGATCCGTACCGAAGTAATAGCCAGTTGCGCGTAGGAAATCATTGCTCCAGCGACTGTGGTGGCCAATCGTGTATTGCGCTGCGCTGAACTATCGTAATAGTCGTAGATGGCGAAACTATCCAGAGATAGATGACCTTCCTTCAGTATGGTCATGAACTTGGTAACGACAATCCTGTCCACTCCCAGCACGCCTGCTTCCTTGCGCGGCCAGATGCGATACGCGTCTCTAGTATTCTCTCGCTCTTGATCTCGATTTTTGATACCCAAGTCAGTACCATAATCGCCATAAGGTACAAGTCTGGTAACCTTCTCTTCGTCGTCCTGAATTCGGATGGCTTTGACGTATTTCGCTAGCCGCCCACCTGGAGCGATGACGTTGATTTTCTCGATGTCGGATCTCATGAGGTTGGTCTGGAACGTGGAGAAGAAGCGCTCGCCGACTATGCGTAGAGTTTTTGCGTCTGCATGTTTACAAGACAAGCGGAAATACAGAAGGTCTGTATCGCTCAAGTACTCCGCGCAGGCTTCGATGAGCTCCGTGGGCATGTCGTGAAAGGTGAGAGAAGGCATATCCGCGTCATGCCAGCGTCGTAAACATGGGAGCAGATGTACGAGGTAATACGGGGTTGCAGAGCAGCTGAAAGCTCGTCGGTACCAGTAATGAGGAATCAAAGAACAAAAAGAGCTAGAGTGGGATCATCACTTGAAAAGTGTACAGAAGTGGTCGGAATGGAAGGTGCTACATTCATAGAGTACATGCCAGATTTAAAAGGAAAGCGTTAAGGCAGCGACGAGGGGATGCTCGTTTGCTTCTCACATCACCGCTTCGACGCTGTGCGACATCACTGACCTCGGAAGACAGGCACGCTGCACCTTCCCGCCCAACAAGACATGGTTCGCAGCGAGGAAAAGACCTGGCGAATTGGGTCGCACAGCTACTTTCGGTCGACCCAGTATCTACATGCAATGCAGACGCATCGACGATGACCCATGCACTCATAGATGAGCTGTTTCCGCCTTCCTCAACTCGCAGAAACAATGCGCAAGAGATACCTGGACAGTTACATCCCAAATTTGAACACCCTACATGCAGCAAATCATCACATGTATGCAATTAAGACACGCGTTTTAAGGATTTTTTAATACTATTTTCTCATATTTCTACCTCCGCCACGCACAATCCCCCGTCTTATGCCCATAGGCATTCTCATTACAATACCGTCTCGGATCTGTACTCTCAATACAAAACTCACACGGCACAGCATTAGGACTACTCGAGCGCTTCGACCCACCCTGTCCATAGCCCATACTACCCTGTTTCTTGATCAGCGCAGCCTGCTTAATCACGTATACGCATTTTTGCGAATTATGTGTACACGCCATGTGGCGCGTCAGGGGATCTTTGTCGCAGTGTTCACAGTGCCAGACGCTCACGCGGCAATACGGTGCGGTGTGGTGATGGGAATCGCATTTCTCACAGAAACGCGTTACGCCGTAGCCGCAGCCTTCTTTGATGGCGGTTTGGCCCGCGTCGTGGAGTTGCGCTTTGAGGTCTACATAGTGGAGTTTGTTGAGCGGGGTTTCAGGGGGTGGACAAAGCATGAGGAAGGCGGCGATCATGGTGCATACAATGTCGTTGCCGGCGTTGTGAAGGTATGGCTCTTTGATGTCGTATCCGGCGAGGAGGTGTGCGAGGCGTATCTTGCGGGATGGATTTACAAGGCCGTGTTCTACGGCCAGCACTTGTGTGTCGATTGTTGCGACGATAGTGCCGAGTTCTTCAAGGTCGAGACCAAAGCGCGATTTTATGACTTCGTAGTCGTTTGAGACAGCGTGGCCTACGAAGATTATTGGACGAAGATTGCCGTACATGTCTCGGCGAGTGAAAACGCTGCGCAGCATTTCTTTCGCTTCGTTCACGCTGACAAAGGTTGTGCTGCCGAACTGAAAGGCATCTGGATGCCCTTCGCACAGGTCTTTGTTGGTGAGGTGTGCGTGTGGTTTGATGCGCACGTGGTAGTTGTCCATGCTGGTGAGAATACTCCATGGTGATGAGGAAAATGGTTGTGGCACGGAACGCGGATCGAGAACAGATATTCCGAGTTCCGTGATGAAATGGTCATCGTGCTCGTACCACTCGGCATCAGAGGCCACGATAATAGCGTCTTGGAGTGCTGCGGCTGCAGCGGCACTGCCAAGCGGGATTTCGCTCCCAGATCTCTTCATCCAATGCTGGAGGATAGCTGACTGCGTGAGACCTTGGCGTAATTCGGCTTCGATGAGAGATTTCAACTCTCGTGGTGAGACTGGATGAGACATGTCTGACAAAAGTGTGTTGTGCGTGAAATCTGACCACCAAGTAGGTATTGAGCTTGGTGCGTAGGAGTGTTCAGCAGTCGAAATGGAGGGAAGAGCAGGAAAGTCTTTCAAATAGGCTGAAACCGCCGTTGTGTAGTCATAGGCGAAATCTGAGTAGTGAATGGCGTTGTAGAGCTGATCCGCTTCGAATCCGGTTGAGGTTTGAATCATGGTAAGAGTCATGATGTCTGAGTTTCGGTAGTTGCTGCAATAGTTTAATTGTAGAGTATGATTGGAAACAGGAAGTGGGTTGTAGAGATGAGATGAGAGTGGGAAGCCAAGCGCAATATATACATACTGGAACTGAAAACGTGATCTTGATGCCTGAAGGCGGCAGACTTTCGGTACCATGGTTGCACACTTCGACCACGGCTTTCGCAACGTATACCACCAATAAGGCATCTACGCTTGTAAGCAGTACCGCGACGTTGCAACAATATTCCCAAATAATTCTTACATATCTGTTTGCCTAGTAGTGAGTGGGCGCCGAGCGAGGTGAGTAGTGTGGCACAGCCAATAGACACACCCCTGACTAACTGTTGCAATGAGAAAGACTGGAGGACGGAGCGATGCGATGAATTACTGCAACCTAGGTCTGATTCAAAACATATATCAGAACACGTCGCAGCCATAGCGCTCGGCTGCTATCTGCGACCTCGTGATCTTGACGACGCGCTCCATTCCGAGATCGCGCCATACTTCAGAACCAATTGAAATAGGCGAAATACTTTCCTCGACGCCATCCAGGGGTTGTTTGTAGCGCTCCGAGATTTCGTCATCTCCCACCTCGTAGTCGTCGGAGTCATCGCTGAGCTCCCACCCTTCTAGATCCACGTCTATGAGAAACCAGCCGTCGGATTGAGAATAGCAAGCCTCCTTGAAGAAGTACCTGAGAATGTCTAGTTCTCCCTTCTTGAGCATATTGCATAAGCCACTGAAAGCATTGTTGAGATTGCTCCTCATCTCTTCCCACGTGCTTGGTATCTCAAGAGCTACTGTTCGCAGGTTGGGATAATGCTCTTTGATCAAGTTTGACATGAACGATCCGCCCTTTTCCTCGTCGGTTTGCAAGAGTGCTATCGAAAATTCGTTTTCGATATCCATCAAACTTTTCGTGATGATCAAACTATGAAGACTCTTCTTCAAGACCTCCGGTAGGATTCGCAGGAAGAACATGGTATCCGCGGTAGTGTTCTCCAGAACGACTTGACTGCGAGACCAAAGGTACTGGAAAGCCTTGGTGGGTTTAATGATCCGATGGCAGTGTATGTTGGATCGCGCGACTTCGTTGTAGTAATTGATCCATCCTCGTTTATTGGCCTGCAGTACCCTCTCCGCCTCTCGATTCACTTCCTTGGAAACAAGAAGTAGTGGCGTCGACATGAAGATTTTGTACGTGAGTATCACATCTTGGCGGTCAGAGAAAACGCCTGAGCGCCCATTAGGATCATGCCAAAACACTTCGTAAAGCTCGTCGGGAACTGGCTGATCCTCATCAGCCACTTCCGGTGTGTACATCATATCGAGAATCATCAGCCAATCTTCTGTGGGAGGGTCAGTCCTGACGTGAGTTACACCCGAGCCTGCGTACCTTTGCTAGAATCCGTATCCGGCAGGTTGTAACCCTGGTTTTGTTCCCATTGATCTTCACGGTTCGTATGCCGAAAGATCGCTCTTGGCTCAAGCGAATAATCATAGATCATATCGCGAAGTTCTTGCGGTAGGTCATGCAGACGAAAACTGCATGTTGTTAGCTTTAGAAGCGCGACGCGTACGGCGGAGAGTTCTAACACGTCTAGATGTGCGGCGGCATCACCATGCCCAGACCGCGATGCTTCCGCTGTCTCTTCACGCATTGCTGTTGGTGTGTGTAAAACCGGGCTTCGGTATTGCGCTTGCGAACACAACGGAAGAGGAGCCCTCGGGGAAGGAGGGGATGGCACTAGCGCGACGCGCCGAGACGCGTCTCGCGAACGCTCGGACCTCTTCTTGTTCCATCGCTCGAGCCTTGCGAGTCTTTTCACAAGTAGCATACACGGTCACACAGCTCCAAGAATTGCGCGTACTTTAGAACTTTGAATCTTTGCATGCTTTTGTGTCCTTACTACTACTACGGGGATCCACTATACGCCTGAGTTCGTCGAGACTACGACCAACGCCTGGACTGTGTGCTGACGACCAAGAAGACGATCGGGAGCCTTGCTAAGATG